ATTTAATCTGTTATAATCCCCATTCTTAGACCCCCACTTTCCAGCTTGAGTGTTTCAAGTCAGGCAGCCTTAAACTTCTTGCAGCTAAATAAAAGCAGCCTGGCTTTCAGATGTACTTAGCAATCGCTGAAATATGTGGGATCTCCAAGTGCTCAGCACTTTAAATTATTCCTTTTTAAAAAATATATATATTTTAAAGGTGCCTAACATTAGAAGCCTAAATTTGAAAATTCAGACCCAAATTTTTATCAGTCACATTTTAATCACAACTCACAACTCAGTCTACACCTTGGTGGACAATGACCTATTATTTGAACATGATCTTGCTGACAGATTTCTACTGCATTAAGGCCAAGTGCCTTCAGATAGAAGCTGCATCTAAAAGCAGATTCGGTTGTGGTAGATGCTGAGTTAGTTCATCAGTTTTAAGAGGATTTTTCAGCTTTGCAATAAAACGCTCATGTTTTAGGCATAAAAGTTGTGCAAAATTACACTCTGTCATGCATTTTCAGCAAAACTGCACTTAGAAGAATAAAGTGAGATTGTTCCAGACATTCTCTTATTACAACAAAAAAGGACCAGACCCTAAGTAAGTGTCCTGAAGTCTTATTACAGCTAAGTGATATAGTACAGTCTAAATACCCATCCTTGTCAACAGGATGGCAACCCACAAGTTACACTCTCAACGCTCTGCAGATACTAAAAATATCAGGGACAGGCACAGTGTTATTTATGTCAGTCAAAATACTTTAAATCAAACCCAGGAGAGGTCTTGAAGATTCCATTAAAACTGCCACATAATACAAAAATGTCTCTAACATTTGGCTTCATTCATCCTCGATAATTAGGTAAGATTTTATGATGCTCATCACATGCTTGCTCAGAGGTTCTCCAAGGCTCTTAGCACCTCTCTGTAGAGAATTAAGACACTTCTGTGTGGCTTTAGAAACAAAGACAGCTTGCAGCCAAATCTAAATGTTTTGTCTTAGCAAGTGTGATTAGATGTAGTGCTTCCATCATACCGAAGTTCTGCGTTTTCTGATTAGTAACTGAACAGGGCCCTCTGGCACAGATTTAATGATGTTCCAGGCATCGTAATGCATGAGGCCAAGTAATGATTTTCCACTAACGGCAAGAATTTCATCTCCTGTTTCTATGTTTCCAGATTGCTCTGCAGCACCACCTAGGAGCAAAAAGGGAAAAAAGTCAGTGTCAAAAAAGAAAAAGAAAACTACACCCAGAAAAATTTGCTTTCCACTGTGATGAACAGCAAATAAACCATTTTTCCAACAGTGGCAATTTCAGTACAAGTCACTTATTTTCAGCTCAGCTCTAACAATCTACCTTATGCTGCATGTCACAGAAAATATTATTTTAACCAAGATAAATCCTCCTTCTCATAAAAAGTCTGGTTTTGAAGGAAGCAGCATGAGTGGATGAAATATGTTGTATGTTATCTCTGCAGCTGTAAGAAAACCTGATTGAAAAAATAAAGATACAGGTTTTCTTTGTATTGTCTCAAAGAGGATTTTAACACTGTAATATGTAGACAATGCAGTAGATTGTAAAACACAGGTAATGGGGATGAACAAACGAAACGCAAGCAGCAAACTTAGGACAAACACACCAGAGACAGAAACAGCTTCTAGAGAGGGGTGCACCCTTCACTGCTGGTGAAAGAATGCTTTCTGTAATGATAATTTAACTAACATCAGCCATCATGGGAAGGGAAGGGGAAAAGGACTGCATCTAAGGATATAAATTAATGAGCTCTAATATTAAATATGCTCTTTGCCCTCAGAAGCAATTTCTAAAGAGAGGAAAAAAAGCACATTCAGAAAAATTGACAAACATTTCAGGAAATACCAGTTTGGTTTTTTCCTTGATGAAAGAATAAACCACTGAAAAGCAATCTTGTAAAAATGCTGTGCACCTGCAGCTAAGTTTCAGCTTCCTTTAGAAAGTGCTATATTTTTCACTAAATTGATTCTCAGATGAAGACATATTAAAATCACAGCATAGTTGTGGAATTGGTTTCTCTTCTACGCACAGTTCATGTAAGTTTAACTACCTGCTGACAAAAAAAGCATCCAAGTGTGGCGGTTTTTGAATATGAATATCACACATCTTTGGCAAAAGCTAATATTGATATCTAACAAGAAAAATCAAAGACGAAAAAATGGTAAAATTAATAACTGGGTTTAATGACGCATGGTGCTTTGGAGCCACACTGATTATTTGCACTGTGCTTCTTTTAGAAAAGAGAATGGCATAAGGCAAGAACTTCTCAAACTGTTACATATGATATCGCTGCTATATGTTAATGTCTAGAATAGTGGACAAGACCAGGAAGGAATTGCACCATATTTAGTAAGTCAGATTGCTGTGCAAACATTTGCTAGCAGATGCAATCCCTAGCCATTCCCAGGAGTGGTTTTTTTACTGACCACTTTGGCTTGTAAGTGGTAATAAACAAGGGCCACAAAAACTACCCTTGGTTCAAAAAAATTGAGTCCAAGAATTAAGATGTCTGTACAATGCACAAAAGGAAAACTGGGGTAATATCCACTGCATGTTTGTAGTACCTTTAAATACTCTTTTTACAAGCAAGGGCCTGTCTCCAGCAATGGAAGCTTTTCCACCATCAAGACTGAATCCCAAGCCAGCAGAGGTTTTCAATAATTCAACGCAGATGACATCATTCATATCCAGGTTTGGATCTGTGACAGAATACACACAGCATCTTGTTATGCAGCTAACAGTAAATTGCAAGTTGTGTTGGTTGGTTTTGTTTTTACTGCAGTGACAAAGCAATTCAGAGTTCAGTTCATATTCAGAGTGGAACACATTGTCACCCAGTTTCTCTGAAGCAAATATGTATTACGCAGCTGTGAAGGGGAGACAGCACAAAATGTATTTACACACAAAAACGTTTTCATTTTGCATGTTCATCAAGAACCTGCCAAGGCTTTTTTTTTTCCCCCCCTAAAATCAAAGCTGATAAAACTTGGGAAGGACTCTAAACATCAACGAAATAACTGAAAAATTACAAATCAGCGAGTGGAGAGTACTTCTTTTTCTTTAATTTGTTCTCACTTGCTTATTCAATGAGACATATCTTTTTAAATAACAGTAATGAATGAAGCATTTTATTAATAAACATGACAAAACCTCTTAAGGAAAAGACTGTAATCACTCAGTAGTGTGAATAATTGTTTCTGATCTCCTATCTATGAAAATAGATACAAGTACCTGTAGGTGTATTCTGCCTCCTACAAAGCAGATATTTTTAGAACACAATATTGCTGTAGCTGACACAAAATACAATTTTGCTTAGGAGGAAATAAAGCTACTATTTTAGAAAACAGGACCCTCTTTGCCCGTTGTGAATGTGAAAATTATGTAGTCCACATTATCGCAGATTACTGTTATCTCAAACAACTCCAAATGTTATCTAAAACATTTGAAGATGTGCTTTGCCTTGCAGGATGGAAAATACATTCTTCATAAAGCAATACTATGCTGTTTATGAGATAATGTTGCCCCCTAGTGCCAGCACCCAGCCGATACTCTGCATTTGCCAATGTGCAGGATGCAGGGAGTTTAGGGTAGAAAAGCAATCTGAAGTAATTACATATATTATATGCATGACAGAAATTCTAGAAAGGGTGATCCACTCATTTACAGAGTGCTTCCTGTTTCTTTTAAGTGTTATTAAAAAGTTGGACTATAAAACCCAGTGAAAGCACAAAAAAATAAAACTTCTACATGAAAAAACAACAAAAAAACAAACCAGTAATGACTATGACAAACAGGTTAAAAATGAGTGAGTGGCAGCTCCACGTCCTGGTTTTTGGGTGGTCTGAGCTGAGTGCCTGGTACTGGAAGTCACACCACCAATCTCATCAATAAACAGTAACCACTGCCCACTCCCTTCCCAGACACTGCAGCGGTGCTGGACTGAAGCAGGTCATCCCCTGCTCCTGAAGCAGTAGCATACAGACAGGTACTGAAGGGTTCTGTGTCTTAATTCTACAAAAAATCCTGAGAGATCCATTTGTACCACCCCAAGTGCAGCCTTCACACTGAAATGCTGTCTTGTTCCCAGACAGGAACCTACCGTTCCACTGATACGTTTCCATTTAAACCACTTATCCCTAGTTTCCTATGGGATGGCTGACTTGGATTTGGTTTAGCTCCATCTACTGTAATATAACAATATTGTTTTTCTTTGCTTTTAGTAGAAACAGTATGAAATTTGCTATTACAAAGAACAAGTTCAGTCCCCATGCATAAAAAACTGCAGGACTTGGGGTTTTCTTTGAGGTTTTTTTTTTTTCTTTTCTGGTTGTTTGCCTTCTTGCACTGACTACTGTTATTACTTAGAAAGAGTTTATCCTGGATTGGAAGAATATGTGGAATCACTAACTTTAGTAGAAATTGGATTAGGCCCTAAATGTCCTTCTAAGTTTCTGCCTAGTTATGGTATTAAAAAAAAAAAAAAGAAACAAAACTGCATTTAGACTCCAAATAGAACAAATAAAATTTAAAGGTAATTTCATTTGCTCCCTTCAATCACATAAGGCACAGACACGTTTAATCTAAAGCACATGGACAATTTTCCCTTCGGTCTGCTCTGCAAGGGAATCCTTCCAACTGCTCTTGGACAAAGATCATACCTGTTACTATTTCCATGGAAACATCCTTTCCAGACCTCACGCATTTTCTGCCAGTAGCTGATATCTCAAGTCTGGAGGAATTGTTTGCTTTGTATTTTTCCTTCTGGATGACAACGACCGCATATTTGTATAGTCGAGCCTGATGAAGAGCATTCAAGACATCCCCATGGACAGAGCTTGCGAGAGACTTTCCATTGATTGACAGAACAAGATCTCCTCGATGAATAGTCCCTTCTTGAGACGCCACTCCCTTTGAAAACACTCTGTGGACCTACAAGAAAGATTTTAACTTTAGGATGCTTTAACTTCATGACCATACTGCTCTGCAGGCCAAGGTGAACATGGAGTCCATATCAAAGTTTGCAATCAGTGCCCACTGTTTGGATATCAAGCACGCAACAGTTGCACCAGCAAACACTCACAAATACTAAGGCCTAAGTGACTGGACAAGAACTGCATTTAGGGATGGGACGAAGCAAGGGAAAAGATGCTATTATTGCATCGTCACATCTAAGACAGACAACCAAAACCAGTAGAGAACGTAGTATTACAAATCACTTATGCTTTCACTCAACTCCTCAGAGGTCTTCAATTAACATACTTCAAGTGACACACAGGTTAAATCCACATCTGCGCTACAGCAAACACCAAGAACAGCACTGCGGTGCGTGACACCCACTCCCCAGATTACCACTGCCTGGGACATGCATCCTGTGCTGTTTTCAAATGCACACTTCTAAGCAGTGCACAGCATCTGTGCAAAGAAAGGCTCCGACTTACAACAGCTGTATAAGTATTTAATTGTCCATCTTAATCTAGCTGATCAAATACCATGCAAATAGATGCAAAAGGATGATTTAGTGGCTTGAAATGCATTTTTTCTAGAGAAAAAAAATCTCTATTCAGAGTGCATTAAACTTTGAATAAACTCCAGCAAGTGCAGCCGAGACTCAGATGTGTGCCATTTACAGAAAGGAAGTGACAGAAAGACTCAAAATTCGGTATTCAAAGATTTGCCAACCAGGCACTGTAATTTTCACAGCCAAAATATGGTTTCCCATGCACACAGTTCTAGGTCTGCTGGGCAAAGGTTCAACGCAGCAGATCTGTGGACACAATTCTGCATGGCATTTTCTCCAGGAATTTATCCTAATACCCAGATCAACTGCAAGGAATCAGAAGCCTCTTGGCTCCTGTTCCCTCTCATTGCAGGGCCATGCTGAGACGGGCACATGCCACAACCCTACAGATCCAAGGATGTAAATTTCCAGCCAGTCTAAGGAGGCATTCAAAGCTGGAATAACAGCCTCAATGACAGATGTAGACACCCAAATGCAAAAGGTAAGTGAAATACAGGGGTTGTGTCCAAAAAAATCTGCTGCCTCCCTTCACGCGCCCAGTACCTTGACACTCACTAGGCATTTCTATTTCTGCACTCAAGTATGGGCAGAACAGCCCATCTAAGCAGCTCAGCACCCAATGCCAACCCTAAATCCAGAATTCCAGTATGTCAAGGATATTAAAATGTCACCCACCTGAGAAGTGTGCTTCACACACACTGAACAAATAGGATCTGGAAAGAACAGGAGCTGATGCTCTTCATCAGCTGCTCAGCCTGAGAGAGAGCTCAAGATCATATTTTTAGGTGTGTCCCAGTCTCTAGGTGAGGAGCTCTCTGTGGTGGGACACTGCTGAGCCTGTCCTTGCTCACAGATGACACTGCGAGCGTTTGGGCCAGAGACAGGGAATAGAACTTTTGCAGTGAGAGAAGAAGAGACCATTGCCTAGACTGTGACTATGTTCTAACTCAATGACTCCCTAATGTAAAATAAATTTACTTACATTGGTCTTGTCAAAGAGTAAAAAACAGAAGATTCCTGCATGGGCTGCTGCAGGCCTCAAAGATTGAGGACATATCTTTCTTCTAATCTCAGCACTTAGTGGATCTCCCTTTTTCAAGACAGAATTTAAACGCTTATCTTGTGTAAAGAGATTGTCACATTGTCACTAGTTGTCTTGGATTTTTCTGTCTCACTGATCTGTTCTTGAACAGTGTGTAAGTTGCTTGGTACCGCTTCTTACTAACATCACTTAATGGCACATGATATCTTTGGTACAGAATGCTATATAAGACTTTAAAAAAACCAAAACAACCAACAAACAAAACACCAAAACAAATTTGGGATGCGAAATCCAGAATGTTTGCTGAGGTATGAAACAATTCTTTTTAGGATTTGCGAAATCTTTCAGAAAGTTTCTGCGCAGGGCTTACCTTCAAGGGCTGGGAATTAAAATCTCCCTTAAAAGGCTGCATGCACTGCAACTGTATGCAGTTTTATTTACATGCACAGGACTTAGATCTAGTTGATCCCATCCAGTAACAGACTTTCAAAGACTAAAAACATAATTGGCATCCATCTCCAATAATAAAAATTACACTTCCCAGGCATGCTGTGATTTCAGTAGCAGATGGTGTGCAGCCGCCTCTGAGAGTCACTGTTTTATGACTGAATGACTTGCAGTGAGTCTTGATAAATGAGCACTTGATCTAATCACCAGCCTGCTTTAAAGTGAGCTTTGCAAAAAAATGACTTGCAGCCATCACTTACTGTGACTGATTTCTGTTCCAGATCTATTCCTCCAGCAACACTAAATCCCAGGCCAGCTCCTTCTTCTTTGTGCAAGACTACAAAGTATGTGTCTTCTTTGCTCTACCAGAAAAATGGAGGTGATGGGGAAGAGGAAAGAGAAGAAAAACAAAACCAAAGATCAAGACCAAGTTCCCACACAAATGACAAATTCCCAGTACCCTCAGATTATGGCAGGCGAAAAAAGCAACTCAAGGAATTGAAACTGAGACATTACATGCATTTCTGTTCATGCTACAGATCAGTAGTAGCCATATAGGAGAACCTGGGTGACAGCAAACGTTCCTTGAGTCAGTTCCAAGGCTAGAAAGCAAAGTAAAAATTCAGACAGTGGAAGGGTATTAAACCTTGGGCAGTCTAATTTTCCCAGGCTGTAATCAACTTTGCATCGCTGGACATTTTGCAGTCAAAACTCAATAGTTCCCATACACCTTTCTGGAAGAAACACTGTTCTTTCCAGGGAATTACTAACACTTTTATTATCCCATTTCTCCTTCCTCTTGCAAGCCAGTTACAAAGACGTAACTGAGGGCAGTTGCGTCAACCTCTTCTCAGCAGTGCTGGACAATCTTGCAAGGGGCAGAGACTAAAAAATGAAGCTTGGGAAGGTTAGAAGGGACAACAGGAAACACTGTTTCACTTGGGAGATGAAAGTAAGGAGCCTGTTAGCGGGACCAAGCTGTGCTCTTGTGGAAGTGGGAACATCCAGAACAGGGAAGCGATTGGTGCAGGTCAGCACCAGGGCTGAACTTGATCCAGATCAGAACAAAGGTGTAGCGCAGGTCTCTTCAAAGTGACAGCCTCCATCCAAAATACAGGATTTGCCATGAGAAAGAAGCAGTCCTGCCCAGCAAGTCTGGCGCTGCCTTGTGAACTGTTACTAGGACAAAACCAGATGCTGTTGCGGAGAACACATTATGTGGTATAAGGGGGACTATTCGCAGGCATCTATCTGGTGCAGCAAGGGAATAGTAACCATCTGTGGGGCAGAGCAGCAGAAGTGGTGGCAAGTAGAAAGCAGGGGTGTCAGCTTTTCCATGGGATCCTATCCAACATCAGCCATTTCCAGAAACTGCCAACACTAAATTTAATGGCACATCATTAGAAACCAACCTCTTAATCTATTTAGCATAAAATTACATACTTATTTCACTAAACTCAACATTTTAACTCAGCATTTGCCTTTTAATTTTGTTTCAAATCGCACAGGCAACCACAGGTTATTACTGGTTTTTGGTGAAACAAGTCAAATTCTAGTCCTCACTGTGTGCTTTTTTGACAAACAGCGGCCCTGAAAGATGTTCTGCATTAGAGGCACCCCTGCAATCCACAGAGCCAATGTCAGAAACCAGTATTGCTCTGCTTGACAACACTGATCTATCAGCACTCCAGAAAAGCAGAGCAGTCAAAGATTAACACCTTAGTCTACAGCCTCTTTTTGTGGATGTTAAGACTCTTCTTACCTGTTTTCAAGTGAGAACAGCTTTATGTTAGGCTAGAAATAATAAAATCAGTTAAATAGCTAGGCTAGCTCCTTTCACAGTGCTATGAGGCTAATGGAAACATAGAATCATAAAATCATTGGGGTTGGAAAAGGCATTTAAGACCATTAACCTAGCACTGCCAAGTCCACCACTAAACCATGCCACTAAGCACCACATCTACACATCTTTAAAATACCTCTAGGGATGGTGAATCCACCACTTTCCTGGTCAGGCTGTTCCAGTGCTTGACAAACCTCAGAGGGAATAAATTTTGCCTTTGGCATGTGAGTCACAGTGCAAACTCATTTCCATTGCCACAGGTAGCCCAACATAAAACATCAGTAGTAGAATGGTGAAGAATGTATATTTAAAGCTTTAGCAATTATGAAGAATGTTTTAGCAATATCCCTAGAATCATAGAATGATTTCAGTTGGAAAAGGCGTTCAAGATCATTGAGCCCAACCACCAATCCATCCCTAGTGCCACTAGACTATGTCTCTAAGCATGACATCTACTCCTCTTTAAACACCTCCAGGGATGGTGACTCAACCACTTCCTGGGCAGTCTGTTCCAGCGCCTGGCAATTCTTTCAGTAAAGAAATTCCTCCTAATATCCAACCTAAACCTCCCCTGGCACAACTTGAGGCCCTTTCCTCTTGTCCTATCACTTGCCACCAGGGAAGGGAGAAGAGACCAACCCCTACCTCGTTACAACCTCCTTTCAGGTAGTTGTAGAGAGCAATAACGTCTCCCCTCAGTCTCTTTTTCTCCAGGCTAAACAACCCCAGCTCCCCCAGCTGCTCCTCATTAAGACTTGTGCTGTAAAGCCCTCACCAGCTTCACTGCCCTTCTCTGGGCATGCTCTAGCCCCTCAATGTCCTTCTTGTAGTGAGGGGCCCAAAACTGAACACAGTATTTGAGGTGCAGCCTCATCAGTGCCAAGTAAAGGGGAAGGATCACTTCCCTGTTCCTGCTGGCCACACTATTCCTGATGCAGGCCAGGACCTGGGCACACTGCTGGCTCATGATCAGCCAGCCAACTGTTGACCAACAGCCTCAGGTTGTTTCCAGGTGGGCAGCTCTCCAGTCACTCATCCCCAAGACTGTAGCGCTGCATGGGGTTATTGTGACCCAAGTGCAGGACCCAGTACTTGGCATTGCTGCACCTCATACCATTGACCTCAGCCCACTGATCAGAGTGACCTGGTAAACACTTCTGCAAGTTGCCTCAGTACCCCTGGATGGATCCCATCTGGTCCCACAGACCTACACATGTCTAAGTGGTGTAACAGGTTGCTAACCATTTCCCCTTGGATTAGAGGGAATTCACTCTGGTCCCCGACCCTGACTTCAAGCTCAGGGTTCTGGGTGCCCAGAGAACAACTGGTCTTACTATTAAAGACTAAGGCAAAGAAGGCATTAAGTACCTCAGCCTCCTTCTCATCCTTTGTCGCTGTATTTTCCCCGACATCCAATAAAGGATGAAGATTCTCCTTAGCCTTCCTTTTATTGCTCATGTATTTATAGAAACATTTTTATTGACTTTTATGGCAGTAGACAGATTAAGTTCTACTTGGTCTTTGACCCTTCTAATCTTCTTCTGCATAATGTCACAACTTCCTTGTAGTTCTCCTGAGCTGCCTGTTCCTTCTTTCAATTGGTCTCAGATGTTAGAGGGCTGCAGGAGGACCACAGGTTTGGGTCAGTCAGTGACACAGTCTGAACCTTGGCTTCTCGTTGCAGTTCCTTCCTCCCCAGCTCTCAAAGCTGTCCTCAGCCAGCATCTGTACTATGGAGCACAAAGACCTGGCTATGAATGCTTATTGGACACAAAAGGCTTCCAGTGATCACCTCTATTTAGCTTGTTAGCCAAAGATCACTGGTCATAGAGATTTAAACAATAAAATGCCTGTATATTTTTTTCATATTAGTAGCACTTATTAAATGCTAGCAGTAACTTCAGCAGTGTTCAGAGAAAAAGATGATGACAAACTCTTCCCGGGGAAGCTCTCAGTCTGAGTTGGGCAGTCCATCTCATTTTTCAGCAATTGCATAACTATGAAGAACTGTCCTATTGTACATTTAAATCCAGCATTTGACTAGGATAAAATTTTCCAGCATACGTGCCATACTGGGTTTAAATACGGATAAGAAACTATGCAGACAAGGAGTGCATTCCAAAAAGCATTCAGCTTTATAAATATTTGAGTTCTCAGACTTTGAAAAGTGGCATAAATAAATAAGCTCTCCAAAACCCCATGCAAAATACTTTAAAGAACACTTAATTACCTTCGGCCAGAAGTACAATCCATTCCTAATTTTATCAGTAAACCTACCAAACCCTCTTGGCTCACCAAGCTCTTGGGACTTGCAAGCTCTAGCTACACTGTCCCTGGAAAGAAGTAAAGCTGGGTATTTTGGGGAGGTCCTGTTCGCCCCAGCCTGTTCTACATTTGCAATAGCAGCCTTTGTGAATAAGACTCGGGAACACTCTAAATGCAGCTCAGCCAGCAGTTATGCAGACCAGATGGCAGTTTTCCCTCCAGTGCTGTCATTATTTTATCAACTTCTGTTCTGATTTAAAAAGGATGTGGATGTATCCCAAAAACACAAACACAAACATTGCAAACGAGGAAGTAATGTTCTGGCAATCATTTCACTTTGGAGACCTTCTTTAAACACCTAGATAATGAAGCAGGTTATCTTAATGCAATAACCAATTTCCACAGAAAAAAGCAAAAAGAGCACAGCATTCCCTTACAAACCCTCCAGCAGCTGCTTTCTGGTGCTGCAAGGCACCAGTTCAGCATTAAACAAAATAAATTCAATTTCTGTGAGTGCTGCTTCTAGCAAAAATTGTGTGCTTCCAGGCAGACAGAGGAGCAGACCTTTGCCTGAATGGTGGGGAAAGTGAGTCTGACCCAGATGATTGGTGGAAAGTTAAATTCTGATGGGCAATTACTGTCAAACTCAGGAGTTTCTCACCTGTACCAATGACTCAAATGGAGGCATACTTCTCCACTTAAAACAGGTCTATTTATTGTGGCTCAAAACTACTTTCTCACTGCACAAACAATACCCTTCCTTATACAAAAGCCATTCAGATTTATTATGGATTTATAGTAGGCATTAAAAACTCCCTTGGCATTAGTAAAACTACCATCAGCTGTACCCTACAACAGGACTACTGGAGGAGCTCTGAAATTGTTTGAGACAGATATATGCCATTAAGAAAACCCTTCAAAATACTGCCAATAACCTAGTTTAACTTCTGGTTTTTACCTTTACTTGTGCTTTGACTTCTCGGAGCATAGCAGCACTGTCACATTTTGGAACTACTGCTGACAAAACAGATTGCAGTTTTTGCTGGTCCAGGCTTGAGACGAGCAGCTGATCCAAGCTAAAACGAACAGAAAAAGATAAAAGCCAGCTTTGTATTTCTAGACTGTGTAGAAACACATTTAGGGTAAATGATGAAGGGCCAACTCATTAACAAGCAGAAATCTTGAAAACAAGTAAGAAACGGTGTATACTGGGAGAATGGGGAGGGAA